AAAACAAATTCAGGACTACAAAGTTTATACCTAATCTCTATCTTAACCTCTGTGTCTTCTTCCTCCCACTCATAGAGTATTGGTTCTCAACAACGTCAAGAATGATAGAATTAGGATAATTACTCATTTGTTTTATGTGGATTTTTGAATGATGAAATTATCTACTTTTATTATAGCTATATTGAGTGTTTTTTCTTTTTTTAGGAATCTGATAAGATATATTTTACATTTCCTCTTGCAAATCATAGAAAAATCCACACTCATGTCTACTGTCAGAGCACTATGCTGGTAAGATAATTGGTACATTTTATATAAACCTAAAGGCTAACTATTGTTTATTTTTCAAATTCTAATATCTAATAGTAGACTGAATTATGAACTATTATTATTAAATCTAAGTAGTTGAAAAATATCTGGAATAGTGTTTTGATTGAAAAATTTTGATCAAAATTTTTATATAACTGGTAACATGCTATTAAATTGTACCTTTGATTCTAGTTTAGAATCCACCCTATTTTTCTGCTTTATTTTTACTGTGTTCAGGATGAAGGAAATGAATACAAAACCCTTTTAATTCTAAAATTCTACTAGTGCTATAAAGAATAGGTATATTTAAGCAATAAAGTGAATCTTATTTTTCCATTGGCTTCCATACTAAAACTTAGAGAATATTTTTATAAATATTCTCTAAGATGATAAAGTAACTGTTACAATGTTATCTAGACTTACTGTATCAGAGTAATGGTTTTGTTTGTATTTCTTTTAATAAATACCTACTATGTTAGGCCTTGTTAAATAAAAGGTGCTATAGTATGCTTTTGGTATAATAGTAGGAATGAGTGGTTAAGTAATACTTTTATGAATTATCAACATTTTTTACTTTGAGAAATTTTTCCCAGTTTAGGTTCTTTTTCCTACATTCTGAATTTTTTTTTTGGCATGTCTCAAGAGTCTCCACTATTTGCATCTTTTATAATTTAAATTCCTTCTTCTGCTTTTTGTTAGGTGACTTTCATTTTTTTAGAACCAACATCTAGTATATCACTTTGGTGGTAGATATACTTTGGTGCCTGCCATGTTATATATAGTAAAGTCTTTTTAAAAGATGGCAGGCAGACAATGTGACCTAGGTGCTAATGAATGTAACATTTTAGTGGAATTTCCGAAGTTTTGCATCTTTCACAGATACTAGCATCTCTCAGTCTAAAATCTGGATGGGCACTTTATCGTGGGAGAATCTGGCCCTGAGAGTAATGGCTTAGAATATCTATACTCACTTAATACTGAATTTCAAATCAGAATATCAGTATTATATGGAGAAAAATGCCTGCTAAGAGCAAATTATCTATCTGACTGTTTGGAAGATCCTTTTTCTGCATTTAACATCCGTGGATATTAACTAGCATAAAGTCATGTGAATTTTTTAAAATCTTTTCAATTTTTATTATGGAAGTTTTCAAGCATATATAAAAGCAGAGAGAAAAATACAATAATGAATTCTTTTATAACCAACACACGGCTTTAACAATTATCAACATTCTGTCATTCTTACTTCATTTATTCCTTCCCTCTTTCTTTAAGAATTAAAGACTCTTTAAAAAAAGATAACTATACAATTTTCCCATAATTTAATAATAATTCTTTAATAATATCTAGTCAGTATTCAGTTTTACAGTTTTATCAGAAATTTATCTCTTTTTTTCTGTTTTGTTTTTCAGTTTGTTTAAATCAGGATCCAAACAAGGCCTGCACATTGTTATTGATTGATATGTATCTTATTCCTCTTTAATCTATAATACTTTTTCTACCCTTTTTTTCCTTGAAATTTATTTGTTGAAAAAAACAGTCATGATTTTGCTGACTTTATTCCTGTAGTCATTCAACATACTCCTTTACCTATTCTTTCTGTATGATTTAGTAGCTGGATCTAGATGCTTTTTCAGATTCAGATTTTTGTTTTGTTTCTGTTTTTGCTGGACTCTTTTTTGTGATGTTAGCAGCTGTTGATAAAGAATTCATGGAGTCATTAGTTCATTTAGGAGGATGCAAAAATGATGATACTTTAACTTTACTATTCCTTCTTCATTTATTAACTGGAATACTATTTAGAAAAGTTTCCTCTCCTAAATTTGTCAGAAGTGGATCAAATCATAAAGGAAAAAGTTTGGATCTTTAACCTTATGTCTACTGGTTATCAGAATAGTGAGTTGATTAATAAACATCCTTCATTAGTAACCATTAGAGGTTTCTTCCCAGTATTATTATGAACTCATGGACTTAAATATATTTGAGTTTCAATCCACTGATACTAAAATTGTTCTGTGTTTGACTAGTGAAGCAATTTTATAGTTTGGCTCCTGAGTCTTATTGATATAGCTCTTTAGTTGCCTTTAGTAGTTTCCTCACTGTCTTGTCACAGTATGACAAGATACTTCAGCTCATTTTGTACATTTCCTGCCCCAGACCTTGAATCAGCTATTTCTCTAAGGAACTATTCCTTTAATTTGAGAAATGGCATTTTAAAACCATAATCTGACATTAGAAATGTTTATGGCTGCTGGGTTAGGATTTCTAGGCCTTTTCTGTG